ATAATTAAAAGTAAGTAAAGCTATCCCTGTAACAGGCAGTGGAGGCCCATAGGGTTGTGAGACGTCGAGGCTCCCACATTTTCTCTACACAATCGACTTATTGATGGTTGTGAGGCTGTTAACCTTGCGCGCCGGCCGCCCTTTACCTCCAGGAAGATTCCTGGTGCGTCGACCCCAGGGTCATACAATCACTGAAATTGTTCAGTAAAGGTAACGTAGAGTTATTCTAGTGCCTAATTAATCAAACACTGCGTCATTAATACATATTAATGTATAGATCAACGTATTCTTGACCTCGGCATTAGACACAGGTGAGTGGTCAGCTTCACGTCCCGTCCGCTTTACCGACGGTTTGCCACTGGATAGGAGGTTGTGCGGGCCCCAGAACCGGTCTGGACGACGTGGAGAGAAGAAAAATCCTGCCACTATCGGGACTCGAACACTGACCTCTCAGTCGTCCAGCCCATAGCCAGTCACTATACCGCGATTGTTTGAGGGGAATATTTGGACCTAAGAGAGATGAAGTGACAGGAGGTTGGAGAAAACTGCATAATGAGGAGCTTCATAACTTGTACTCTTCTCCAAGTATAATTAGAATGATCAAGTTAAGGGTGACGAGATGGGTAGGGCATGTAGCATGTAAGGAATAAGGCGGAATGTACAAAGGGTCTGGTGGGAAAGACAGAAGGGAAGAGACCACTATGACGACATTGGTGCTAGAATAAAAATATACTAAATCTTGCAGAAATACGATGGGATGATATAGACTGGATTAATCTGGCTCAAGACAGGGACCAGTGGCAGGTGAACACGGTACTGAACCTTCGAGTTCCATAAAATTCTTGGAAACTGTTGCGTAACTGAGCGACTGGTGGCTTTTCAAAAAGGGTTCAGCTCCATCAGCTCTAAAATGAGAGGAAATTTTGACTACATGAGTGACCATGAGCTTTTCAAATAGGCCTCTGCTGTACCGAGTTAGCTAGCTATTTACACAGATATTAACACGGCGACTTTCTTGAAGTACGGAAGGTTGAAGAACTTACTATTTATATCGTTTCTGAGAGCATGTGGTACCATATGGTACCATGGATGCATATCTTCCCTTCCGAACCCACGATACTTCTGAGGTGTTTACGCTAATCTTTGGGGGAAAAAGAAACAGCTCCTGTTATCAAAGCACCGACGAATTGACAAAAATTAATACTGAGTGACTAGCACACAGCTTAAATCTTGCCGTAGCAGAACCACAAACCTGAACACTGCTAATACCAAAGCCCACCCTGGGCACGAATCTGAGTCATTTCTATCCGCCTCCCATCCCCTCAATTTATTTTAACAAGATTTACCCAGTAATTTTATTTCCGGTTTCACAAAATATTTCATTAACATCTTGTAAGCTCTGTCTACACGCAAAAAAAAAAAGTAAAGCTATCCCTGTACCAGGCCGTGAAGGCCCATAGGGTTGTGAGACGTTGAGAGTCCCACATTATCTAGACAATCGGCTCAAAGATGGCGGTAAGGTTGTCAGCCTTACGCGCCGGCCGCACTTTACTCCCCAGGAAAATTATTTAGTACACCCTATATTTACTGGATTAACTCCGTATACGACAGAGTTCCTTGTTATATACTCACACATAATGGCGGAGCACATATTTAAACTTGTCATGTCAACAGAACATAAAGAAAAAGAACTTATAAACAGTTACATGTAAATATGTTTTTATGAGACTGTGGATGAAAGGGGCAAGAACGGGTCAACAAGTGACCCAACTCCCTGGTGCTACATGATGATAACGATACAGAATATATTTTCTGGGCGTATTCCAGATTAAGGCGTTCCCTCAAGTGGCCTCCGTAGTCTAGGGGTAACGTTCCCACCTCATGACTCAAGGTACGCGGAGGTCGTGGAATTTTTAAGGGCGGAAAAATTCAGGGAACAAGTCCTCCGGGAGGGACTTTAAGCCGTGTGTCCCGTGTCTTAGATTTACTGCATGTAAAACATCCTCATGTCTCTAGGAGACCTATGAGCAAAATTAGGCAAAAGTTTCCCGCCCAAGTAGTTTCCAATTCCTCTGGTAGATGGGGAAGTATCGGGGACCACTGCCAGAGAGGTGGCCGACCTCGCTGGAAGGATGGGGCTGATAGCGAGCACCAGTACTGGAAGGGCATGGCGACTGGTAGAATATCAAAGGGGGACGTACAATAGACTATTAGTCGCGGTTCATGGGGAAACCCACCCCCTCTAATAATAATAATAATAATAATAATAATAATAATAAAGGCGTTCCCTCTGTCATCAGAACATGGCATTCAGTTATGCTAGGCCTGTGCGATTATAAACAAAGTTGTGGACAGCCCACAAGGGGTGGTCCTTCCGCTTGGGAAATTAGCACAGGGCTTCACTATAAACTGCTCCATGTTAAGAAAGTTCCACGAGTGGCTCTGAAATGGACTGAGTATTTGAAAATGATATGATAGTATCCTTTTTAAGTTTGAATTTCTTACGAACATATAAGAATTCAGTTCGTACCTCACAGAAAACACATGTCACAGCTCCAAAGCCCAACCGGTTAATGCTGTTTAGGGAAACAGTCGCTGTTTACTGTGGGAACCATACGGAACACATAAATACACTGTGTGGGCAGAATGCAGAGATTTAGTATGTTAAAGGTTAAAGCAAGTGGTACATATAGTGACCACTGGATTCTAAAAGCTTAAGATCCGGATGAGGATCTTTCCGGTTCTGGTACCATTAAGTTAGTTGCAATGTTCGGCAAACACTGAACGTAAATTTACATGGACAATTTATCAGTCTATATTATATTGGCAGCCTGATTAAGTTTCTATACAAACAAACGGTATTTCATACACAAGGGAAAACGAGTCACTGTGTGCAGAATTATGCTTTCACGAACTCTGAAGCGTTTATACACCGCTGATTACAGGGGCCGCGCGGTCTAAGGCGTGTACTGTCTTCGCTCGCTCGGAAGCCGGGATCGTGGGTTCGGATCTGTTTCCTGTGAGGTGCGAACTGAATTCTTATATATTATTCTTATACACTGCCGGTCACAGTAGCCGAGCGGTCTAAGGCATGAACTGTCTTCGCTCGCTCGGAAGCCGGGACCGTGGGTTAAGATCTGTTTCCTGTGAGGTACGGACTGAATTCTTATATATTATTCTTATACATTGCCGGTCACAGTAGCCGCGCGGTCTAAGGCATGAACTGTCTTTGCTCGCTCGGAAGCCGGGATCCTGGGTTCGGATCTGTTTCCTGTGAGGTACGGACTGAATTCTTATAGTACACTGCCGGTCACAGTAGCCGAGCGGTCTAAGGCATGAACTGTCTTCGCTCCCTCGAACGCTGTGGGAGAGTGGGTTCGAATCCCAATGAAGGCATGGATGTCTGTGTGTGCGTTTATTCTGTTTGTGTTGTCATGTGTGTAGGTTGATGACTTGCCACGGGCTGATCCCCCGTCCAAGGAGTCCCACCGACTGTGTACAGGATTAAGAAACCGAAAAAGCGGCCAAGGTCCAACAAAAGGACTTCTGACAGACACGACACAGTCCTTACTGTACGAATATTCGGATTACGAAATTTCGCCCATTGGAACTTCTACAATGACAAGTATGCCCTCTTGGCTTGGTTTGTCTTCCGAACGTGAAATCGTTCATGCGGATTTCCCTACCGAACAAAAACGGAACCAAATGAACTAGACGTCGCCCAGTCAATTAGCATTGCACTCCGCCTACATTGGTACGAATCATATCTGTTCTGATTTGTTAAGGGAGACGCAGTATGTTTTCTGTGAGGTAGGATGTAGCTTCTCAGACGAACTGCAGTTTTCATATCGTTTATGTAACTTGGGGATCCATGCTGACGCGAAGCCTGAACTTCGAACTCGTAGGCGCAAGTGCAGGGCGGAAATGAACATGCCATGTGTTGTTTCAGTGTTGCTGTGTCACGTGTCTTTAATACAACGCGCATGCGCCCTAAAGGCAAACGGCATTATCCTGTAAATTCGTTCTAGGATGAGTACTTCATGTTCCGAAGAGCATTGCCCTCAAATATTAAGTCGTTACGACTATATTCACTTCTTGGTCTTAACGTCGTTGGGAGGCCGCGCCATAGCTCGAGCGGTTAGTCGCTGGCTTCCCACAGCGGCGGCTCGGGTTCGATCCCGGGTCTGGTCAAGTGGGATTTGTGGTGGACAAAGTGGCGCTGGGGCAGGTTTTCTCCGAGTACTTCGGTTTCCCCTGCCAATCTTCATTCCACCAACTGCTCCACAATCACCCTCACCTATCATCTGGGGCTGGTACAATAGGCCAGAAGTGGCCGCAGTACAAGGGACTTAGTCCCACCCCACTAGCAATAAAAAAAATAACGTCGTTGGAAAGAATTCGTAATGCGAGTCGCTATTTCTCTTAGGCATAATGTTATATATTTTGGGGTTATGTTACCCAACGACCAAACAGGATAGAAGTCACCAATTTTATTGCCCGAAACGAAAAATATAGGCATCAGATCAGTTTTGGATTATGCCTCTGTGGTCTAGTGGTCAGAGTTCCTGGCTACAGATTAAGAGGTTCCGGGTTCGATTCCCGGCGGCGCTACCATATTTTCTGAGAAGTAGTGGGTCTGGAACGGGCTCTACTCAGCCTCGTGATGATAATTCAGGAGCCGTTTCAATGAAATAGCGGCTCCGGTCTAGAAAACCGAAATTAACAAGCGTGGGGATCCGTTGCGCTGACCACGCAAAAGTTGGCACTAACTTCGCCGACAAGCGGCGGTCGCTCGGTCGGTATAGTTCGCTTGCGGACTAAAGCCACGGAGATTGTTTTGTTTGTTTAACAGACAAATGGACAGAAGCAGTACTTTTTGACGTCACGGTTACACACCAAAGTGTTAACTTATTCAGAGTAACCGTTGTTGATTTTTCATGATCGAGATATCTCGTTCATAGCACTGAAATGCTTGAATATAGCATGAACAAGCATCTTACCTGATGTTAGAGATGCACTGTGCGCTGGGGGAGGCTCTGGAGGTGCTGGGACCAATTTTGACTTCACGTCCGACATGGTGGCATGCCCACAGAACTTGTGTGGCCAACAAGAAGGGGACAGATCACTGAATGGGCACGAAATGTTTGCGACGGCAACTTTTAAATATTGTAGACAAGATAATGATTTCGGATTTCACTGTAGATGCACGCACTTGTTGCTTTAATTCATTATTTTAAATTATAAAATTCTGACATTTTCAACACTACCTTTTTTTTTATTATTTGTTCACTTTTAAGTATGGCAGTTCCATTACGGTGTTCAAATTACAAGTTTGTTGTTAGTACTCGCGTGGAAAAGTTTCACATATGTGAAATTTTAAATACACGCGATTTCACAATTAACGGACTTCAAATTCTTTTTTTTTTTTGCACTTGATTTATCACTTGACACACGATAGTACGGTAGCCATGCAGCGATTACGAACTTGTCACTGTTGACCTACGAATTAAGTCATCCAAGTTATCACTTCTAAAATATGACAATTTCTTTAACAAGTCGCTGCACTTTTTAGGGGGGGGGGGAACACGGATATATTACGAAGCGATTCACTGAAATTCGCTCTCACTGTTGCACATCACATCGCCATGGAAACGGTTATCACTTTCACCATCATTTTTACTGTTTGCTTGCGTTGTCACTTCAACTGTTCTCCATATCAAGGTCATTGCCGTAGTAGATTATAAATACTGTTGCTGTCAAATACTTTTTGCGTGGTTGACAACAGTAAAAGCACAGCTTGCGATAATATAAACACAGATGTTATTAAAAGCGTACGAAAAATAACTTGGAACTGCAATTTTAACTTACATGAAACGTTTTAAATATTCACCTAACCTCATTTAACCACGCGGAGGTCATACTTTAAAATATTAATACTGTAATTTACGAACTTACACTTACACGTAAAACTCTGAAGAATTAAACAGTAATAAATTATTATTACCCTATTACATACATTTTTGAAAATGTAACTTAGCTTCAACTTGTTTTTAATATTTTTATGTTCATACGCAGTCTCTAACAATTTCACTTCTTGGGGGGATGAGGTTTCTCCCCTTAGTATAGGGGATGACCAAATCAATACTAGGCCCGGGGTGAAATGAGTCACTGGTGCAGACACTAGGGGGAAGAAGGGAAGTTGTATATAAGTCTGTGCTCCTGGTTGTATATTCAACTTCAGTGACACACTGACATAATTATCTAAAGAGGGATAACTTCTTAATGACACACAGGCTTGTGTCAACGTTGAAACTACTTAATTACGAATGTCACTTCCTCAACATTCAATGTCACAGTTACTTAACCTGTAATGCCTTTCTTAACATACTTAGAATGACTGGGGAGGTGGGGAATTTGTTCTAAGAAGCACCTTTGTAAATATTATTATGTTATCACAACACAACTTCAAATACGAACCTCTGTGTATCGCATTTTCACATTAAAAATACATGGGAGTAAAGACAGTAAGCGAGAGACAGTACAAGAAAAGATGTCTTTATCAGTTGACAACGAATTTTGATCTAACGCGGAATCTTACTCGAGTGATAAGATAGTTCAATAATGGCTTCTCTTTCCCGCTCTTTGCTAGCCCAGTGCTTGCAGGGAACTGCTGGAGAGACACACACTGTGGTGAGACATGCATGCGAGCAGTAGCAGGAGGCAGGACGGCGGGAAAACACTTGACTCCCGAGCAAAGACTTAGCCCACCAAAGATCATCGTAACTAGGAAGATAAAATACTTTCTTACGTTGCACAATGTACATGCAACACATCTTCAGTAGCGAATGAATGATTTTTAAAAATAAGAAATGTTTTGTAACTAACATTCATTTATGTCTAAAGCATAAAAAGCTTCGTAAGGAAACCTAACCTCACAACATGAAATGTTAAGGGCACAGGAAGCAAACACTGAGGATGCCAGTAAATAAATCATTATCTTTAATTAATTAAGCCCTGCGCCATGAATATGTATGGCGGAGTGGAGGTATAGCTCCACCGTTCCTAACCTCGGATCGAGATGGAGGTGAGCGGCCAGCTTCACGCCCCTGTCGAATTGCTCCATGGGAATCAGTCCCCGGTATCCATTGGGTAGGAGATTGCGCGGGAGTGACAGCCGATATGGACGTTATGGAGAATAAAAAAAATAATCTTGCTCCTGCTGGGATCGAACCCAGAATCCTCGACCGTTCAGCCCGTAGCGTAGTCACTATACCGACTGAGCTATCCCATTATATATTATTTCCTGGTGTTATCGGTAGTTCAGAATATATGTATATAACGTTTAGCGGTAGGTTGACTGAGGAAAGACTCGGAAGCCTCAAGATGAATATTAAAACGATGAAAAGTCTCGACCAGGGGAGTCGATATCTCAGCCGAGATTTGAACCGGGCATCTCCCGAACCAAGACAGATGCGTTATCGCTTAAACTTGTCCTGCATATTCCAAGTGGGGTCACAGCATTTTTTAATTTACCTAATCCTTCCAGCCGCACTGTGGCTCTGGGGTCGACTCAGCCTCTAACAGAAATGAGTACCAGGAATC